ACTTCCTGTGTGGCAGATACGGTGCCGGGTGCTGGGAGGCACAGAGCACGGAGGAGACAGCTCACGTACTCAGACTCCCAGTCCAGTGGAGAGGCTGCCGTGCCCTCCTCCTGCCATGAGAAGAGCAGCCTGGAAAGAGGTCTGCACTGAGCAGGGGCAATTATGGGGGGGGGGGGACTTCTCAGAAGAGGTGACCACTGGAGCCAGGCCTCGAAGAGTGAACAGGACTTCCTGACAAATGAAACTAACAGGGCCAATCAGGAAGTAACTCCAAGAACCATGTGAGAAGAGAGGGCCCGGAAGGAGGGAGAACAGATTTGAGACAAGTTTAATTCAGTGACCAATTAGCTACAGGGACAAAAGGACAGGGAGGTGTTTCCAAGGTGGTGACCTCTGCCTGTTAACTGAAAGAAACAGCGCAACAGTCTCCATGAAGGTCTGTACACCCACCAGACTCCACAACCAGCTGGTGGGGTGACCCTGGACCTGTCACTTCCCCTCTTGGACCCCAATTTCCTCATGTGCAAAAACAAGGAAGTTCTACTACATGTGTTCCAAGGCTCCTTCCAGCTGAAACAGGTGGCAGACCTTAAAGAACCACTGAGGCCAACTAGCCTCGGGTGACTGGTTTGGCAACCAGCTTTGCCCTCCCCTCACCAGGTCACACCCCACCCTGACAGCACCTGGTCCTCTGAGTAATCGGCTTTGCTAGGTTGAAATAAAATTCCCTGAGGTCAAGGACAGTAGCTACCCTAAGACCTCCCAGAGGCCAGTCAAGTGTCCCACAGGTGCTATGGTGACTGCAGCAGAAGAGGAAGGACAAGCACTTTTTCTTACAAGCTTACCACCCCTCGGCCCCTAGTCATCCCCAGATTGTTGAGCTAACCAAAGGAGCAAAGTCCAAGCACAAAGTACAAGGGCGCATATACACCCCCTGAATGTGCCCCCTGGAGTCTTTTATCTTAGCAACAGGAATGCTTCCATATCAGCAAGTCTCTGAGCACTCATCCTGCAGAAGATAAAGTGCAAGAGAAGAGGCCTAAGGACAATATGCTCTGACCTCATTTAAAACAAAACAAAGGTAAGCAGGAAAGCAGTTGTGGGGGCAGGCGACAGCTAAGGATGACAGACATCTGCGCCACCAGTGGTGGGAGAGGGGCAACACCAAGCCCCATCTCTTCAGAGAACACAAGAACCTTGCAGCTACAGGAAAGGCCAGAGAGATCCCTGTTCCGTTATTTGACCATGTTTGATGGAGAATAAACACTCCTGAACAGGGAGTGGGGTTGCTAGTGGCTCTCCTGGGAAGTCACCTAAGGAGTTGATTAGGGCAATTTCCAAAGTGCTCCCCTGGAGGAACTGAGGCTGCAGCCCTTCAGAGGGTTGGCTATCTGCTACTACACAACATATCCTTACAGTCTGGGAATAAATCAAGGCCAAAACGACCAGTTCATTGTAACAAACTAACGAATATGTAGAGGCCCTAGGAAGAAGTGGACTTTGGAGCTGATGCTAATTAGGCCCCTGCCCTACTTTCTAAAATGGTATTTCCCTGCCAAAGAGCCTGCTCTAGGCCTTGCAAGAATAAAGTTGGTCCAAGGAGCTGAGGTTCTGCTCACGGCAACGGCCTCTTTAAAAACAGCCATGCCCCTCAGCCTTACCTTACTGGGCTAATTGCTGCCACCGCAGCTGTCTGAGCTGGCACAGAGTGCCACCAACCAGCCTGGCCTCGCTGGAGGCAACAGGTGCTGAGACCCGGAATGCAAAGGGTCACTGCAACCCACCAGCCTTTGAAAGTCAACTGGGTCGGTTGGGGGCAACAACCTGCAAGGCTCAGAAAAAATTGCACTCTGCCTGGGGATGGGGCGGGCGGTGGAGGGGGGGGGAGCACCCAACCACGAACCCGGCTCCTCCAACCGTTGCCACGCTAACTAACTTCTCCCTCAGCCTGCCAACTCTCTACCCTAGAGCAACCTCAAAACTGGAGGAGGTGCCCAGACTCAAGGACCCAATACTGGTACCATCAGAGCCCCGGAAAAGTAGATCTGGAACAAACGGACTTTGCTAGATATGATGGCAAGAGGGAAAGAGCTGGCAGATGGCCCCTGGCCATGTCCAAAGGAAACACACCTCCCTGTTGCGGCAGAGGAGAGCTTCCTAAAAGACTACTGTCTGATGGCTGGGGGGTGGGGGGGGGGGTGGGCGCAGGCTTTTCCCAGCTCATGCCCTAGTCCCTCAGGCTCTCACCCAGAACAGAAACAGTAGCCCCTCCTTTCGAACAAGGCAAGGCGCTATGGGCCAGCAGCCATTCAACAGCCCACTCAGAATAAGGCAATAGGTGTGCAAACCAGGCCAAGTGACCACCATAGGGAAGGGGGCTGCAGGAGGATGCTAAGTCCTAGAGACCTAGCAAGCACACCTGGCAAAAGGCTGAAAGCCAGCCACATGCCACCGATACCCGAAGACAGAGGTACAGCACAGCGTTCAATCTGCCATCCAATCCCGCTCCTCCCAAGGAAAGAATGAGGCCTTGGGTTTGGGGGAAGCAGCTAACCTCCTCAAGCTCTCAGGAAGAGAAGAGTCAGGAAAGGGACCACCTAGCCAGTTAAGGGGCACTAGAATTTATCTCCTACACCCAAGGACCAAGAAAGCCGGTAATTTGCAGAGAAGCATTGCAGAAGTGAATGCCAAGAAGAGGCGGCGGCAATGCTGCCTGACCTGTGGTTCCCCAAGGCTCCTGCACCATCTGAGAAAGGTTGCCCACCACGCACACAACCCCCAGAAATCGGGATTAGGCTGCTCGACTCTGCCCCTTTTCTCGAGACAGAACTCATCTGCAATCTAGAAGTTGTCATATCTCCCGAATGAGCACTAGCGATGAATAGATGAGCAGGCGCAGGAGGACGAAGGGAGGGAGGGAAGGAGGGGGTGGGAATCTGCCTGCGCCAAAGGGACGCATCCGCCAGCCCGCCAGCCCGGGTAACGGTGTATGTCTGAAGTCACCACCGCTAACGACGCCCCCGCACCAGCCGGACTAGACAGTTCCTCTTCAATAATGAAAGAACCCCTTAAAAACAGGAGAGTCAGGGATTGTAAGATCAGGGAAAAGAGCAAAGGCAGAGCAGACCAAAGGGTCGGAGAAAGCAGATCACTGAGGAGGAAAAGGGAGGAATAGGAGGAGGGAGAGAGAAGGAAGGTGAGAATGGAAGGAGACAGGTGAGGAAAGTGATGGAGGGAAGAGATGGAGAGAGGGAAGAGGAGAGAGGAGATGGAAGGAGGGAAAGATCCGAGGACCCAGCAAGCTTTGCACTCACCCGTGTTGTACACGTGCAGTTCATCCACTATCCCCTCGTTGCCGCCGCCAAACACCACGATGAGCTCCTTGATAGCCACGGCGCGGTGGCCGTGACGGGGTCGGGGCACTGGACCCGACCAGCCCACCACTCGCTTCCAGCGGGGCTGCAGGAGCACCGCTTGCGAGTTGGCGGGCGACACGGCCGAAGCCATAGTTCCAGGAAAGGGCACGGTGGGAAAAAGTCACCAAGCGGGAAGGGAGCCCCCCAACACCTCCCACACACCCCCTTTCGTCTAAGGCAGCTCTCACAGACAAGCAGTTCCTCACACAGCGGTGGACGGCTCCATGGAGGCCGCCATCTTAACTATCCTCCTTCCCTTTGGCTCTTCCCCTCCTTCTCGCTCACCCCGACTCTCAAGAGCGCCCCGAAACTGTCGAGCGCCTAGGCCAGAGAAGCTGGAGGCCGTCGAGTCTCGCCGCTCTGACTACTCGTCCGGACGCTCCTGCTTACAAGCTGGAGTGGGAGGCTCTGGGAGCCGCCATCTTGAGCCGCCTCTCTCTCCTCCCTTCCTCAGTCGTAGCCCTCACCCGCCGGAAATGGCGGAGCCCCGGCCCGGTTCCCACACCCCCCAAGTCCCCTGCACTGGCCGGCTTCCGGGGCGGGTGGAAAGGAGCCACAAGCGCCGCGGTTGTCCCAGCCCCGCCGGTGCTCAGACCACAATTGTGGGAGCCGCCATCTTGAGACTGTCCCGCTTCCCCTCCAAGCACTTAGTGCAGCCACCGCTCCCGAAACAGTCTCGACACTCGTAAGGAAGAGAGGCGCACCGGAGGCCAGTGGAATGAGCTCGAGTTCTCGGGGACTGTTCGGAGGCTTGCACTGTACGGCTTGTGAGGTCTCGAACCTCTCCCCTCAGTCCGCCTCTGCTGCTCAGGCTGCGCCTGCCGCCCTGGAAGCCGCCATCTTGAGATTAGCTCCCCCTTCTCCCCTATTCTCTTCCTCCTGGGTCAGTTCTTCCACTGCAAACCAAACGCAAGGAAACGTCCTATCCTCGCTTCCCGCCTTATGACTCCTTCCCACAGGAGCCGCTTCAAAGAGCCAGAGTTACGCCCCGAAGTGGCAACTGTACGGCATGAGGAGCGGTAACGGCAGGGTGCTCATGCCTCCTCCCTGGGAGCCGCCATCTTGTGTGAAGAAGTAACAACTAAACATGGCGGCGGCGACGGTCGGGCGAGGGGCGGGGTTGGGTGACGTCACCGCCACCTCCAACCCTCGCTCGGGTACGTCTTTGGCGCGCCTCTAAAAGAAGCCTCCGCACTGCCCCGCGGCGAGGGCCTGGGGTCGCTGCGCGCTTGTCTAGGGCTCAGGCTGCGCCCGTGTCAGGCGCAAGCGCGCCCAGCCCCGCGAGTCCCCTCAACGCTCCTCCACGCCTCCGCCCTGGGAGCCGCCATCTTGCCGCTTCCCGTCGCCCGGCTGTCCGCGGGCGTCAATAGCGACTCTCAGCACAAAACAAAGATGGCGGCTGCGGCATCTGGGGAATGCCCGGATGAGAACGCCTCAGACGAGTTTAGCCCCGCCCCCCCGGGAACGGTCCCCCGCCCCGGGTCGCGGAAGGGACATACACCCGAGTTGCTTTTAACTAGCAGTGGGGACAGGGCATAGGTTGCTGAGGGTGGCTGACAGGAGACACTAGAGTCGCGCCTGGAACTGGGGGTGGACGTTTTCCCGCTCCGTACACCCAGCGTCCGCTGGAGAGCGGGCGAGCTCAAGGCGAGGACAGCCGGAGGCGGGGCGAGAGTGGGCGGTGACGCATCCGGCTCCCAGGCTCCCAGGCCAGCTGGCTCCGCCCCCGGGAGCAGCGCCTCCACCGCCTCCGCCGGCGCTCCAACTAAATGAGCCGGGCTGCGCGCCAGGGCGCCGCAGCGCGTTGGGCCGCCCCCAGCCCTGCAGGCCGCTGGGCTGGCAGCCGGGCAAGCGCCGTTCGAGTTGAGCTGGCGGGCGCGGGAGAACTCTGTGTCGCCTCGCGTCACCCCGCCCCGCCTCCCGCTTGCTTCCCAGGGCCCCGCGCCCCGCCCCGCGCGCAGGCGCAAGACCGCTTTTCGGGTCCGCCGTTCTCGATATTTGAATTTCCCCCAGCCAAGCGAGAGAGACCAAATACCCGGATGGTGATCGCTGGCCTTTTCGCGCCAATACTGTGAGTTCTCACTACAACCTTGAGAGGTGGGTACTGACGTTACCCCCGGGTTCCAAGTCAGTTACAGATCTTACCAGAGGCCGTCTGGGCTCTGCACCGTCAGGCTCAATGCCAGGCACAGGCTATAATGCAGGAGCCCTGCACCGGTGTTTGGGAGCTGAGAGTGACAACGGATGATTTTTTTTTCACTGTCATCTTTATTTTGTCTTTATTTTCACCAGCCTTTAGCCAAAATTTGGCTTTTCCCGCAATTATGAATGTAAGCCGCAGAGCAAAGACCGTTAGCCAGGTGACTTTGTCACCTGGGAAAATGATAGATCATTTTAGATCGTATAACTTTTGTTGTAGATATCCTGAAATTAACTAAATGACAAGACCTACTGGCAGGCAGAATAACTACTTTGAAATTATTGTAGTTATTTAACCTACCTGTAGGTCCTGAAATTTAACCTATTAGTAAAGAAGCACATATATTACCATAATCTCACATTTTCAAAACTATTTTAGTAACTGTCTTTTGACATATTTATGTTGTAATTCTCTTGTTTTACTTTTGCATTTGGAAGCAATTGTTTGAGAAAAGCCAAAGAAGCCTCACCTGTGTGGCAGTGCTACCAACTGCCCTAAATGACCTTTGAGATTCACCTCCCCTCTCTGACCCTGAATCTCTCCCCTATAACATAAGGAAGCTGAGCTGCTGATTCCCAGGGCCCTTACCCACACTCAGCAACACCCTCCCCAGAGTTCAGGGATCCATGTGGTTGCTCCAGGTTCCTTGGGCAGTCAGGTGGCTCAGATTGACCTCATTTTGGGGTGTCCCACATTGAAGCCCTAGGGTTGGCACCCCCTTATCTGCAGAAAGGCAGCAAGGGTGATTAGGGTAGTCGGGCACAACAAGGAGTTGTCAAATGCTACAGGCCAAAGAAGCCATCACTGTGACAGGTGTTAGTGTTTCCTGCTTAAATGCGTATCACCCCAGGAAGCAAGAGAATCTAAGGAATGTGTGTTAGCCCCTTAGCCAGGAGATTGTCTTGCTTTGCAGGACTTCCCCCAAAGACCCCAGAACAGGGAGCTGATACTATGGATCCTTTGGCCTTTGTATGCCAGGTGCTGGGGAAATCTATGAAGAATTTGGAGTGTCCTGCAACAAAGGTCATGGCACTTCAGGGGTGTAGAGGAGCTACATCATAAAACACTCAGTAGTGGTGTTCCTGGTGAACTTGGGAAATTGGTTTAATTACATGTCACTTTCAACTTGCACAAGGGCTCAAGTGGACTCTGTCAGGGTAGCAGAAGGGAAGAGTCACTTGCCATGTCCTTCCTGGACCTCCTTCTCTATCAAGTTGACAGTGTTTGACTTCTGTCCCTGGCTCTCCTCTATGCTTGCTAGCAGATAGGAGAGTCAGGGTAGCTTGGGCTACATGGGGCCCTGAAGGCCTGGTACTTCACACCAGGAAGCCAGGCCCCAGATGGGTGCAGGGAGGGACCCAGGGACACCAGGCAGGCCTCAGCTCCCCGCCCAGCCAGAATCAGGAGCTCAGTGGGGAAGCACCTGAGAGGAAATGACAGCCAAGTTGGGGGTGTGAGCAGGCCAGGTGCAGGAGAGAAGGAGGACTAGTCTTGTTCTAGCCGGGAGGATAAACCAGGCCTGGGAAGCTCTCAGGGCTACAGGGGGATGACACTTTGATGTCTGGCCAAGAGGCTGGGATAGGGTTATGCATGAAGAGCCAGCCATTGAAGGGTGTTGAGCAGGGGCTGATGTGATCCGATTCAGGGATATTTGGGGAAGACCCTGGGGGGACTGCTGTGTGTAAACCACGTCAAAACCACCTTAGTGGCCACCAGCCTGGAAGTGGTAACCCCAGGGCAGGGGTGGCCTGGAAGCTCCTTAGCCAGAGAAGAGGGAGTGGGAGGTGCCGACAGTGCCACATGCTGAGATGGAGGCTTGTGGTCAACCAGCAGATGCAGAGTCAGGGTGAGGGTTTCCATTCACTTGTAAAAATGCTAGGCCGCCTGGTCCTCCTTAAGAGCAGACCCCTAAGGCAGGACAGGTGAGAGCAAGAAAGCTCAGCATGATGTCAAGCAGCTCCCTCCCCAAAGAATGCAGGTGGGCCCCCTTGGTCCTGCTAAGAACTGAAGTGGCAAACAGGGCCAATGAAAGAGTAAGGAGAAAGAGTAAAGATGCTGGCTTAGTGCTTGAATGAAATTGAATGGAAATCGAGCAGGTCTTGAGGGGGTGGAGGTGGATGGAGGTGGAAGGGACTATAGGGGGAATACATGGAAATGGAAAAATACAATAAAAATAATTTTCAAAAATTAAAAAACATTAAATAAATATACTTTACAAATGAAAAAAGGGAAGAAATTGAGTGGGTCTTCGCTGAGCACCAAAGGGAAAGCAAAAAATCAGCCCCTGTCCTGCCCTTTCAGGTCCTAAACTGCGGGAGGGGAGGTAGAGATTGTGCCACTGAAAATAAATGGTGCTACTCCTGGCTGGCGTGGCTCAGTTGGTTGAGTGTCATCCTGCAAAGTGAAAGGTTGCAGGCTCAATTCCTGGTCAGGGCACATGCCTGGGCTCTCCCTGGTTGGGGCACGTACCAGAGGCAACTGATCAATGTTTCTCTCCCTCTTTCTCTCTCCCTTCCCCTCTCTGTAAAGATAAATAAATCTTTTTTAAAATGGTGCTAAGTGGCCTTCAAGCATACGAACTCCTTTAATTCATACAAGGACTCTGGAAGAGGTACTGGTAGCATCCCCATTCTATAGGTATGTAAACTGAGGCTCAGAATGGCTAAGGTCACACAGTAGGTTGCAGGGGGCGGAGGTTTGAACACAGTCCTCTTCCCCATGCCTGCACAACAGCTGTCTTGGCTTTGAGTCATTTTCAGAGCATTGAACCTCTTCTTTCTTTGTTAATATGTTTCTAGGCTACTAGGCCAAATCACCCCACAGCTGGCCTCAAAGCAGTTGACAGTCAATGATAAGTCTGCATTGTTTTAAATAGCTTGGGTGATTTGGGGATGGTATGGCACATCTGGGGACGGCAGGGGGGCAAGCCAGGGTAGCAGGCTCGGAGAGCTCCTTGTGTTGCCTGGCCTCACACCCAAGAAGCAGAGGGGAGATGTTTACCCTCCTCCCCCTCCTCCTCCAGCACCACACCATCTCTTGCCTTGGATTCGAGAACTCAGACTACGGCTCAGTCTTTCATTCAGCTGGCTATTTGGTTATAAGTGTTTTGGAGCTAGCCTGGAATCTTCCACACTTATGACATCACTGAAGTGGGAAAGCCCGTTCTGAGTTTTAAGAACAGACCTAGGAAAGGTTGGAGTCTGTAAATACAGTGGCTCTAAGGGAAGTAGGGCAAAGCACAGGATTTTTTAAAAAGATTTTTATTCATTTTTCAAGAGAAGGGAAGGGAGGGAGAAAGAGAGGGAGAGAAACAGCAATCCGTTGCCTCTTGCACATCCCAAACTGGGGAGCTGGCTCTCAACCCAGACATGTGCCCTGACTGGGAATCGAACCAGTGACCTTACAGTTTGCAGGCTGGCACTCAATCCACTGAGCCACACCAGCCAGGGCAGGAGCAGGATTTTTGGTCCACAAATGAGAGAACAGCATAGGTATCAGGAGAGGCATGAAATGCTTAGGCAAGAGAGGATTCTAGAGCCCATGTGTAAGAAGGTGAACATACTGGAGCTATTGCTTCACTTTTTTTTTTTTTTTGATGAAAACTGTTGATGGATCCTGAGGCTGAGAGTCGGCAAGATGGAGACTCTTTTTTTGGATGGTTTTCTTTCTAACCACACTCTTTTTCTAACCACAGAGGAAAAAGGCAGGACGGTCTTCTGCTCATGCCAGCCAATCAGCAGGACCCCCGCCTTTCTCTGGTCTGCCACTGCCACTCCAGGGCAAGGTCACAGCATCTGCGTCGGAAGTCACCGGAAATCACAGGACTTCTTCCTGTTGGCTCAGCTGGGAGGCCAAGGAGCGTTTTGCAAAAACTGTTTGTCTGAATTTTGAAATAACTGCGAAGGCTGCCACTCTTTTAAGCTCTTTGCCCCAGGTCACAACTAGGGTTCCAGATGAAGCCCCAGTCAAGGCAGGCTCTCTGCCACGTGGCTGTGGCCAGCTGCCTCTGTATGGGCACTGTCTACATGGGCATTTTTGAAAGTGTCGCGGTGCAAGTGGGCTATGAGCACTACGCGGAAGCCCCAGTAGCCAGCTTCCCTGCCTTCCTGGCCATGCCCTTCAACTCACTCATTAACTTGGCCTATGTGCTCCTAGGAGTATACTGGCTCCGGAGAAATGTCGACACCATAGGGCACCCCGATGAGGTGAGACGGGTTTGTTACCTGAAGGATGTTTTTGCGGGCATGGCCCTGATCTACGGCCCCGTGCAGTGGCTGCGGATTGGGCTGCAGACGCACCCCACTGCTGTGCTGGACCAGTGGTTCACCTTGCCCATCTTTGCATGGCCAGTGGCCTGGTGCCTCTACCTGGAGAGGGGCTGGGAGCCCCACTTGCTCCTTGCCATTGAGTGCCTCTCACTGTTCAGTTATGGCCTTGCCCTGCTGCACCCCCGCGGGTTTGAGGTTGCGCTGGGTGCGCACATCGCTGCCACCGTGGGTCAGGCGCTGCGTGTCCACAGGTGCTACGGCAGCAACTGCTCAGGAGTGTACTTGGTTCTGGGAGTGCTCTCCTGCCTGGGCTTTGTGGTCCTCAAGCTGTATGACCATCAGCTGGTGCAGTGGCATCTCTTCCAGCGGCTCACGGGCCATTTCTGGTCCAAAGTCTGTGATGTGCTTCAGTTCCACTTCGCATTCTTATTTCTGACAAATTTAAACACTTGCCAGAGACTCCCTCCTGAGGGGAAGATGCAGTAAAGTGTGGAAAGACCTTACAGCTGCTTACCCCCAACGTCAAAATGGACAAACAGATGACATGTTGTCCTCAGTGTTAAATTTCCTGGATGTGCCCTGGTCTGGTAGCTCAGTTGGTTAGAACACTGTCCTGTTACACTAAGGTTGTGTGTTCAGTCCCCAGTCAGGGCATATACAAAAATCAACCAGTGAATCCAATGAATGCATAAATAAATAAAACAATAAATGGATGCTTTTTAAAAAATTTCCTGAGTGTGTAAGATATTATTACAGAAGACTGTCCCTTCCTTCAAAGTTATGGGCTTCAATATTTAGGGGAGAAATGTTATTGTATTTTATTATTCTTATAACTTTTTTGTAGTTTGAAATTTTTCACAATAAAATGTTGGGGGGAAATGACATGGAAAGGAAATCCATGATGCAGTTGGAGAGAGAATGGTTGTCTGCAATAACTTCAGGATGCAGGTTACAAATGTGGACTTGTGACAGAGGGGTAGTGTAGCTGCTGGCCAGCGCACCGGGCCAGGCAGTGAGGTTACCAGTGAGTGTTCCCAAGGGTGAGGGTTCAGGGAGAGTGAGTCACATGAAATGCGTGCCCAGCAGACTGATGGGGAAATCGGAAGGCGAGAGCACTAGGTCACCATGACATCTTAACCACCAAGCTAACAGCAGGTCACAAGGAAGCCACGTCACCTCATACCCTCTGTGGAAGAAAGCAGGGTGTGTCTAGGTGAAGAAACACATCTCAACAGAACGTCGCTTGGTGGGTCTACCCTCAGAGGCAGGGTGTGCCTTAGATGTTCTTAGCTTAGTGATTTTCAACCATTTTCATCTCATGGCACACACAAGCCGATGATTACTGAAATTCTGCAGCACACCAAAAAATATATTTTTTGCCAATCTGACAAAAGTGGTATAGTTTTGATGCATTCGCACCGGATGGCTGTTATTGTGTTGGCTGTTATCATTTTTTAATTTGACAATCTAAGGGGAAAGAGGTCAGTGCCCCTGACTAAATAGTTGGGTATTCCATGTTTTAACAATCCTTGTGGCACCCTGGCCAGTGTGGCTCGGCTGGAGGGTCATCCTGTAAACCAAAAGGTATGGGTTCAATTGCCAGTGGGGCCCATGCCTGGGTTGCAGGTATGGCTCTAGTTGGGGTGCATGTGAGACACAAGGGATCGATGTTTCTCACACAGATGTTTCTCTCTCTCTGTCCCTCCCTTCACCTGTTTCTAAAAATAAAAAAAAAAAATTCCCGTGGGGTTACTGAATTCCTTAGGGTTACGTAAGTGTCATACGTCTGCCACCATTGGAAAGATCCAGAGTGTGGTCTGAGTAGTCCCCACATCCCTGTCACCCCAGGTCCTTAGGAACCATCTCCTGATGACATCTCAGGGTGGGTCCCTGGAGTTGGCTTCTTTAAACCCTCAGCATACCTCTCGTGCAAATGGCAATGTTTGAGCCAGTGAGCCTGGAGGTGAGCCTGGGGGTGATTCTGCAGCTCAAGAGATTCTGGAGCTGAGGATTCTCTTTGGGTTGCCCACTGCACGCCCCTGGAGAACATCCCTCTGCATTCTTTCTCCTTGCTTGTTAATGTGTTCTTTAGATGCCTGTTTCACCCTCAGTTCCCTGAATAGCCTGGGGTCTTTAAAGACAAAGATGGGGACAGAGAGAGGATGCCCAGTCCCTGACAAATGGCATACCAGGCCTGGACGCACATGTGCATTAGCTCAGTGCCCCTCTGAGGCCCCCTCCTAGAGTCTCTCAGGGTGGCATGTGGACCATTGCTATGACTACTGAGATGCTTTTGAAACTGGGTTCCTGGGCCAGATGTCTTGTCCTGCCTGGGCACATATAAGATGGGTAGTGGGCCCTGGCTGGTGTGGCTCAGTGGATTGACCATTGGCCTGCAAAGCTGGTTTGATTCCCAGTCAGGGCACATGCCTGGGTTGCAGGCCAGGTCCCCAGTTGGCATGTGAGAGGCAACCGATCAATGTTTCTCTCACACATCGATGTTTTTCTCCCTCTCTTTCTTCCTCCTTTCCCCTCTCTCTAAAAATAAATAAAATAAGCCCTGGCTGGTGTGGCTCAGTGGCTGGAGTGCTGGACTGCAAATCAAAGGGTCACCAGTTCAAATCCCAGTCAGGGCACATGCCTGGGTTGTGGGCCAGATCCCCAGTTGGGGACGTGCAAGAGGCAACCACACATTGATGTTTCTCTCCCTTTCTTTCTCGCTCCCTTCCCTTCTCTTTAAAAATAAATAAAATCTTAAAAAAAATAAAAATAAAAAAATAAAATCTTTATAAAAATTTAAAAATAAAATGGGTGGTGGCCCAGGCTAGTGTGGCTCAGTTGCTTGGGCATCGTCTTGCAAACCAGGAGGTCCAAGTTCAATTCTGTCAGGACACATGCCTAGGTTGTGGGTTTGGTCCCTAGCCAGGGCACATACGAATGGCAACAAATCGATGTTTCTCACATCAATGTTTCTCTCATTCTCTTTGTCCCTCCCTTCCCCTTCCTCTAAAATCAATAAGCATGTCCTTGGGTAAGGATAAAAAAAAAAAAACAAACTTTAAAATGGGCGATGGGTCTCAACCAAGCCGTCACCTGAAGAACCCAGCAGGTGTAAGCCCATGAGCATTTCCTGTGCTTGGGTGCCTGCCGACCAGCTTCCACCTCTTCCCCAAGGCCTGGGCAAATGGTGGGGCCTGGCGCAGGACTATGACCCCGAGGCAGGGTGTGCCAGCAGGGGAAGAGCAGGGGCAGCACTTCCTTAGGAAGGCAGCTTTACTCCATTACAGTTGTCTGCAAGGCTCTATATGCCCTAGAAGAGGGAAAAGACTGAGTGCCCTTATCTCAAAGAGGCCAGAGGGAGAGAGAGAGGAAGATGTGCTTCCTTGGGTGGCTCAGTTAGAGAGGGGGGTGGGAGGGCGGAGGAATGAAAGGGGCAGGCTCTTAACTTGGTATCCGGGTGATTTGCGCCCTTCTTGTTACTTGTCTCTTAGTCGTTGTTTGCTTGATTGACAGAGTGGATCCACTGTTGGGGCTTTGCATAGTCTTGCTCATTCCACACCTTTGAGCCACAAGCACCAATAACTTATTTTATTTCTACCAATACCTACTTAATAAATAAGCCTGAGAACCTTCTGGTTTTTATTCTGCTCCCATGTCAGGCTGCGTCTGCACAGGAAACAGGTGGTATGCTCAGATCAGGGTGATTCAAGACAGTTTCACAGAGAACTAGAGCACCACTTTGCCGGGGCGAGGGGAACCACAGGGGGACTTTACCACTCCAGAGCTGGGGGAGACCCTGGGAAGGGTGAGCCCCACCCTCAGGACTCCTGTGAAAGCGACAGCTGGAGCAGGGCAGAGGCCTCCAGAAGCCCAACCCCACTCTCTCCCGCAGGGGCTCCCATCCAAGGTTGTCAGATGAAATGCAGGACAGTGAATAATGTTTTAGTACCAGTATGTCCAAAATATCATTATCAAGTGTGCTTTTTATTGAAAAACTGGGGCCCTGGCAAGGTAGGTCGGTTGGTTAGAATGTCATCCCAATACGCCAAGGTTGCAAGTTTGATCCCTGCTCAGGGCACATAAAAGACTCAACCAATGAATATATAAATAAGTGGAACAACAAAACAATGTTTCTTTCTCTCTCTCCCCCGTCTCATCAATAAAAAATCAATAAAAAAATAAAATTCTCCTAGAAAATATTGTTCTTTAAATTATTCGTTGTTATCTGAAATTCAGATTGAACTGGACATGTCTTTTATTTGTTAAATCAGACAACTCTATATTGAACCAAGCCAATTAAAGGCAGAGGCCTGGAACTTTTTCTTTCTGCCCCATTTTTGATCAGTGTTTCTCAAAACACTTGGCCAGCATTAGCCATGCAGCTTCCTGGTCTCCTCCAGCTCTGCTGAGCTGAGCCATGGCTCCTGGGGCCAGGACCACAGACTGCCCCAGCCCTGCCCTGGGGTTCGAGGGTGCTAGCAGTGTTTGACACACTGGAGGAAGGAGGCTAGGGCTATGCCCCCAGCCCACTGTGCTCTCCGAAGTCCTTGCTGCCCCTCCCTGTCCATTTGTCCATTGTTGTTACTATCACTGTCTTCATCTTATACCCCCACACACAGCACAGCTGAGAAGCCAATGGTTACCCAATGGGCCCTCTCCCCACGTTTGGCTTAACGGTTTAGAAGCTCCAAAGCTGGGAGGAATCTTAGAAACCATCTGCATCAACCCCCACGTTTCACAGAAACTGAAACTCTAGAAGTTCTACTCGGCTGCAAGTTGCAACACTTGAGCATTAGAAACCCAGGCCTCCCCCGTTCTGGACCAAAGCTCTATCCACCTCTATTGTTCTAGCTCTCCCTAGAAGAAGTGGCAATAGTGTTGCCAAGGATATCCTTGTCATGCCATGGCCTGGAGATTTGTTCCCTAGTGAAAATAGCTGTGTTGGTTTTGTTCTGATTATAGGTAACATAGGCTCATGGTGGCAGGGTAGGTGGACAATGGGTCCTCTCAGAGGACTGTCAGGAATCTGGTGGCTCCACTATAGGTCATGTACTCCCATGCACTTGCTCTCCCCACTTCATAGTGAGGGGCGCAGACACTGCCCCAGGCCGCCCCATGCGCAGCTGGGGCTGGCACCTGACTGCTTCACCCTGTCCTCATCCAGCACACTAACCCTCTGGTAGAGAGTGAACATGTGCGCCTCTAGGCCCTGGAGCTCACCTACTCCGGGTCAGTCTCAGAAGTGTGATCAAAGGGCATGTGGATTTTAAATGCCTGGGTTGATTTTCCCACTGACGCTTAGGATTCACATTTCTACCACTGACAAGAGAGGGCTCCCTGGACCCCCACCCACCTGTTAGCATGCTTTTTCATTTTATGCCAATCTGAGTGTGGGGGGGTGCAACACGAGATCTCATTGTGATTCTATCTCATGCCTCCTCCACACACATCACACACATACACAACCGGTGCTCGTGCATTTGTCTGCTGGAAGTTCACATTTGTTCTTCTGGAAGTTATTTGTTTATATCCTTTCCTCATTCTTCACAATGTGCCGAAACTTTTAAAAAAAGATTTTATTGATTTATTTTTAGAGAGGCGAAGGGAGGCAGAAAGAGAAGGAGAGAAATGTCAGTGTGTGGTTGTCTCTTGTGTGCCCCCCCAATCAAGGACCTGGCCAGCAACCCAGGCCTGTGCCCTGACTGGAAATCAAACCAGCGACCCTTT